TTACTTAGGGCATAGGCTATAGGATATTCTGGCAGGATGACACTACCAGTGGTATCAAAAATGAAAGGATGTTGCATATGGGTTATTATTGAGGTTTTTGATATTTCCTTGACCACTTGTGGAAACATCTATCTCAAAGCCACTAAACTAAGGGTCAACTGTTCTTTATAGGGAAGTGCTAATATGACATGACATCAGTGAATCCCTGGTGTTTGCCATATTCTTTGTTCTATCTGGTTCTCAATTGATCTGGTCTCCCACAAGGTACTAAGTAGTCCCAGATTTTTTAATACTGCTCAAGACTGGGTGTTCATACCCATTCTATACTTACCAGGCATCTGCATTCTCAGCTCATTTGAGAGCAAATTTGGAGGCAGGAAAGATAAAAACGTTGATCTACATTTGGAGCACCAGCATTAACAAGTAGATCTACATATGGACAGTTAGAGTTTTACATATTATGTAATTACATGTGGGAGTGGGACCAGGTCCTACCTACAAACTGACTTTTCTACAAAGAATACTACTCACCTCTTCAACCCTTCAATTAAGACTACAAATATTTAAGAGTAATGAATATCAGTTCTGTAATTTAACTTTTTATTGTTTTAATGCTAGTTTTCTACTGTTAGCATTATACACTTTCTCCTTACTTAGTGACATACTTGTTTACCGATGACTCGGACTTATTGATGGGCCTCTTCTGACCAGTATACAAACACGGGGGGGGGGGGGGGGTTCTAAATAATGTATATTAGAGCTGATTTCCTCTATTTTGTTTATTTACAATATACCAGTACACTGCTGTATAACACATTCAAAAAATATACCAGAAATGTTATAAATGGTGCAAAGATGACATTAACAACATTATCCAACAATGGTTGACACAAAAACCCACTACCATTATAGTATGCTCTCACTTAGTGACGAATTTGTTTACCAATGTTGCCTTAGGACCAGAACTCCGTTTTAAGTGAGGAGAGCCTGTATATGTTATGTAAACTTATTTGTATTTGTATGGCTTGTATAAGCAGACAAAATGGCATTCCTCCTTACTGGCAATGCCCGCTTTCAGACGATAACCTTAAACCTAACCTGCGTGGTATGAGTGGCCCTACAGTACCTTAAACCTAACCCTGCTGTATAGTGGGGGCCAAGTACATTTAACCCTAACCTGCTGTATGAGTGGGGCCTACAGTAGCCTTAAACCTACCTGCTGTATGAGTGGGGCCCTACAGTAGCATTTAACCAAACCTGCGTATGAGTGGTGCCCTTATGTTCAATAGTTGGGTAACACATGAACAACATTCTTATATCAGTAGTCATAAATTTAACTACTTTGGTTTTTGTTCGAGACTTTATTTATAGAAGTAATGTATGTAAATTAGTTTGTAATAGGTAGAGGGAAGTATGATAGTTATCAGTAGGTAATAACTAAACTGGGCCTTGAGAGCTCAGACTTTTTGGTTATATTTATTACTATGGTGAGAAAAGTCATTCAGTTTATTACATGATTTCAGAGAGTTGAGAGGAGGTTTTTTCATTTGGTTATTAGTTTATACAATGCTATTTTTTTGTGACTATGACAACTATATGGAATATTAGAAAAACCCGTCATCAAAATATATGAAAAGTTGTGTATATGCAAGTTAGGTAGCAAGTTGTTAGCCATATTATAGGAATAAGAAAGTAGGTAATTTTAAAAATGAAAATCTTGATGACATGTTATCATGACTCATATTATATAACAATAAAAATAAACAAAGTACTTTCAACTTACAGTTAATGTCCTCTGGAGGGCTTTCACCAATAATATCTTAACTTTCTCCATGATGGTGGAGGCCTGAGTCTCCCTGGAGAACAGTGGCAGTTGTGGCACCAGTCTCTGTGGTGCTGGGTGTCCAGGGCTTCTTATGGTCTCCTGTACCTGTCATGTCCAACACAAACATTAATGCAGGATGTCAGCCACAAATATGTCTCCACTCTCACACTTACACAACTTTGATTGCTTAAGACTTATGTCTAAAGCATCACTCACTGCCCTTCCCTTCAAACCCTTCCTAATATATCCCCTGTAACCTTCCTTCAACCCTTCCTAATATAATCCCCTGTACCTTCCTTCAAACCCTTCCTAATATATCCCCGTACCATCCATTCAACCCTTCCTAATATATCCCCTGTACCTTCCGTCAACCGCTTCTAATATATCTCCCCTGTACCTCCCTCAACCCTTCCTAACATATCCCCTTACCTCCCTTCAACTCTTCCTAATATATCCACTTGTACCTTCCTTCAACTTTCCCAAATATATCCCCCTGTTACCTACCTACAACCTTCCTAATATGATCCTCCGTACCTTCACTTCAACCTTCCATATATCCCCTGTACCTACCTTCAACCTTCCTAAATAACCCTGTAACTGCCTTCAAACCCTTCCTAATATATCCCCGTACCTTCCTTCCAACCCTTCCTTAATATATCCCCTGAAACCTCCCTTCAACCCTTCCTAATATATCCCCTGTACCTCCCTTCCCCCCTTCCTAGAATATCCCTGTACCTTCCTTCAACCCTTCCTAATATATCCCCTGTCCCTCCCATCAAAAACCCTTCCTAATAATCCCTGTACCTCCCTTTAGGCCATTCCTAGGATATCCCCTGCACCTCCCTTCAACCCTACCTAGGATATCCCCTGTACCATCCTTCAACCCTTCCTAGGATATCCCCTGTACCTTCCTTCAAAACCCTTCCTAGGATACTCCCCTGTACCTTCCTAGGATATCTCCTGTACCTTCCGGATATCCCTATGTACCTTCCTTCAACCCTTCCTAGCAACATCACCTGTACTCTATCTTCAACCTTCCTTGGTATCTCTTGAAGTAACCCCCAGGGAGGTACTACCATCCGTGGTAGTAGGTTCACAGACAGCAACCAGCCCTGGGAGGTAGCTACCATCCTGTGTAGTAGGTTGGTAGAATAGCAGCACCCAGGAGGTACTAACCATCCTGGGTGTAGGTTGGTAATAAGCAGCCACCCAGGGAGGGTACTAACCATCCTGTGGTAGTAGGTTTGTGAAACACAACCACCCAGGGAGGTACTACCATCCTGTGGTATAGGTTGGTACAGAGCACCCACACAGGGAGTAACGCCATCCTGTGGTAAGTAGGTTTAATTAGACAGCAATTCACCCTGGGATGTTACTGCCCATCCTGAGGGAGTAGGTTAATAGAGAGAAATCACCCTGGGAGATACTGTGATCCTGTGGTAGTAGTTGGTAGACAGCAACCACCCCAGGGAGTCACTGGCCATCATGTGGTATGTAGGTTGGTAGAATAGCAACCACCCAGGGAGGTACTACCAGCCTGTGGTAGTAGGTTGGGTAGACAGCAACCACCCAGGGAGGTACTACCAGCCTGTGGTAGTAGTTTGTAGACAAGCAACCACCCAGAAGATACTACCATCCTGTGGTAGGTAGGTTGGTAGACAGCATCCACACCCAGGGTGGTACTACCATCCTGTTGTAATTGGTTGGTAGACAGCAACCCCCTAAGGAGTACTCTACCATCCTGTGGTAGTAGTTGGTAGAAGCACCGACCTAGGGAGTACTTACCATCCTGTGTACTTAGTTGGTAGAACAGCAACGCAAAAAACCCAGGGAGGTACTACCATCCTGTGATAGTAGGTTTGTAGACAGCAACCACCAGGGCGGTACTACCATCCTGTGGTAGTATGTTGGTAATATCAACGCAACCCAGGAGGTTACTACCATCCGTGTGGTAGTAGGTTTTTAAACAGCAACCACCCAGGGAGGTACTACCATCCTGTGATAGTAGGTTTGTAGACAGCACCACCCAGGGATGTTAACTTACCATCCTGTGGTAGTAGGTTCACAGACAGCAACCCCCTGGAGGTAGCATTACTCATCCTGTGTAGTAGGTTGTAGAATAGCAGCCACCCAGGGAGGTACTACCATCCTGTGGTATTAGGTGGTAGATAGCAGCCCACCCAGGGAGACTACCATCCTGTGGGTAGTAGGTTGGAAGACAAGCAACCACCCCAGGGAGGTACTACCATCCTTGGTTAGTAGGTTGGAAGACAGCACAACCACCCAGGGAGGTACTTACCAATCCGTGGTAGTAGGTTTGTAAACAGCAACCTACCTCAGGGAGGAACTAACTAACCAAACCTGTGATAGTAGGTTTTTGTAGACAGCAACCACCCAGGGAGGTACTACTACCATCCTGTGGTAGTAGGTTGGTAGACAGTAACCCCCCAGGGAGGTACTACTATGCTGTGGTAGTAGGTTGGTAGACAGCAACCACCCAGGGAGGTACTACTGTCTACCAAATGAAGTGTAAAACAAAAGCCTGTATTGTTTTTTACATAATGGTATTATTGCTGGTGTCTTTTTTCTGTCACATAAATTGCATAATTTCAAGTATATCTTGCTAATTCTACTTCCACTTGGGTCACACTACACATGCATGTACAAACACACCCCTTTGGGTTTTCTTTCTCTTTGTTACTAGTGCTTTTTCTCTTGTTTATTTCCTTTTATTTCCATGGGAAAGTGAAGAGAATTCTTCCCTGTAAGCCATGCATGTCATAAGAGGTAACCAAATGTCAGGAGCAAGAAGCTAGTAACCCCTTATCCTGTAAATACAATACTAAATTTATAAAGAAACTTTTGTTTTTCTTTTGGGCCACCCTCCTTCAGTGGGATATGACCATGCAATGAAAAAGGAAGATTAATATATTTAATAAATAGATAACTTAAGGGACGAGCTCGAGTTTTATGCGCGTAGTACAAAAATAATTGAAAAAAATATGGAAATGAAGTTTTGTTGACTAGAAAAATAGTTTTAAGAATCTGGCAACATTTTGGTGAAAATCACATTTAATATGCTCTTAAAGATGTATACATTTACAGATACAGAATCATATATAAAAATGAATTAAGAAATTGTTTAGAAAGTTCAATAATGACTGTGGCATCATACCTTTACTGAGGTGTAGACAGTGTTGACATCGGGAAGAGTTTCCTGGCACTTCTGGATCAATCTTCAACCTCCCACATTGACTGATCAGCTTTCATCATGGTTTGGAAGACCTCCTGGCAGTGTGACTGTGGTTGAGGTTCTCCATCATGATCTGCAGCTGCTTCTTTCCTGACTCACTTCGGTGGGGCTATGGGGGGGGGGCAGTACACTGGTACCCTCCTTCCAGGAGCTCTATTGCTTGCCTTGTTCTGCTCCAGCAAATCATAGAGTCTGTCCTGCAGTTGGTGATGCTGGGTATTCCAGTCCCTCCACCTGCCCCTGTACTTGCCCAGCTGTGAACAGAGCTTCTTCACACTCAATTATAATGGTTACTGATACTGCTCTTGTGTTCCTGTTCCAAAGACTCTCGTAACTTCTTGCGATGCCTCTTGTGCGTCCTTGACCACATTTGTTGACACTGATCCACTGATGTAACCTGATATCTTCTGAGTTTCTTTATGCAAAGAAAGCCTCCATAGCAAGTTGATCGGGAACTGAGTAGCATCCTGTGGCACTGTGCTCAGCACGGCAGCTGGGGCAGGTGAGCTGAGAGTTCATGATTGTATCTTCAATACACTGTGATAGAAACAGAATGTGTGACCACACGGCAGATTGCGTGGTCGTCGTAGTTCTTCATCATAATTGTTTAAAGCACAACTTTACACTCTCTCTGGTTTGTCGTTATCCTGTAAAAATAAAATTAATTAGATTTTAACACTAATAGATTGAATCTAAAGAATTAAGTGTTCATATTGAATTTTATAGACAATTTTGTAAAGTTAAAAGAATTGCCAAACTTCTTCACATTACTACAATATACAACATACACTGGAGGTATATATTGTCAAACTTCTCAATATTAACCATCACATACAACATAATGGAGGGTTATATTGTTCGAACTTTCTCAATATTAACCATCATATACAACATAAATGGAGGTATAGTATTGCTCAACTTCATATTAACTACTTCATATAACATAATACACAAACATAAAACCAGACTTAGTGAGCTGTATTGGTTACATGACCAGACATAGAAAGAAGAAACTAATACAATAATGCTTTGAGATTTCTTTTTTATTAACTTTAGACAGAGTTTTACAAGGTTAGGTTAAGGGTTCCTAACTTTATTTGCAACTTAGAGCTGTTACCTACAACAACCTCATTTTAGAAGCCTTATTTTATTATTATGAGACATAACACATACAGAAAAAGATACAGTTGTAGTTAACTGTGGGTCAGTGATTTTATTTGGCCAACTGACTATTCTGTTGATGTTATTATGCTGTACAAACATATTCTAGACTCAAGTAATCCTAGGAATAAATTTATCGCAGATGAAGTGATGTTCTTGAGAAGGCTACAAGTAATTGGCTCCTTGCTACTGTCGTGTTGGGGGGTAGGAAGCTCATTTCCTGCTGTCTGTGAGTGAAGCCAAGTGTGGACTTAGACAATATTAGTCCTTGTACAAACAAGTAAGGCTACCCTCATCTCTTCTGTGTTGAAGACTCTACTGAAATGACAGATCTGTCCCAGGAGACAGAGGAGTTGTTTTGCTCTGTTCTCCTATTCTGTCAAAAAGTCTCAGATGTGAAGGGGAGTCAAGAAATCCAAGAAAGTTGAGCATACTCAATGTGCGAATATCTCTTATGCTTCATACAGAACTTGCAGCCCTACTGCTGAGGCAGATGAAAGATATATCTAAGTAAGGTTCTCAACCACTTTGTTGCATACTATATTGTGGATTTCGTAGTTTGAAGTCAAATTTCACCCCAAGGAACCAGCACTCTTTCATCATTCTTACACAGATTCAGCATTACCCTCATGGTGCCTAGAGACCATAATAATTTGTGATATCTCAGGAGCAAAGTGACCTGCCATCATTTTTTCCTATGTTGATGGTGTTTCCATAAACCTTTTTTTGGCCAGCATGCTCGCCTCACAAACTGAGGTCTGGGGTCAAGTCAGAACAAAAAATTGGCTATAAAATCACAAAACTACCATAAATTGATTTATCAGAACATAAAATTATATAAATTAAAAAAGAAGGAAAAAAAAGGTTTATTGGCAACATTTCCCTGCAATGTGGCTGTACACCAAATTGCCGTCAGGTGAGCATCCACTGCCAGCTTAGCTGCCTAAATCTTGGTCAGTATTGGCACTAATGCTTTCCTTATTAACACAGAAAATTGGCCCTCTTTGTTTCTAAAAAAAAAATATTCGGACGCAAGCAGTGAAAATGTAGATCTACTCTTAAACAGTTTAAGAGTTAAGTATTGGATGGAAAAGTTGAAGTTCTAGTGATTTGTTAATTAAACAGATTCAATTGAGGGGTAATGGCACATGAGCCTGCCTTTTTGTACATAATGGTGGAAAGTTACTTAGGTTTCCTGTCCTTTTTTCAGATGAGCTTATTCCAAATTTTATTGCAATTTCATGATACTAAGTGAAATTCAGTCACAAATCACACTTAGTATATTTAACCCAGGATAACCTATGAGCCAAAAATGAGATTCATTTCCCATGATTTGAGGAGTGCCAACAACTCTGAATTAATGTAATACGTATTCTCTTACATTTTGTTAGACCAAATAGAAGAAATGATATATATTATACAGCCTCTCCTCACTTAGCGAATGTAATCGTTTATTGATGCCTCAGACTTACGCGAGGGTCCTCTGACCAGTATTTCTACTAAATAATTATATCATAGATGAGTTCTCTATTCTATTTACAGTGGTCTCATTTATCGTCATTAATCCGTTCCTGGAAATGCGACCTATTATTGAAAAAAGCAATTTTTGAATCATTTTCCCCACAAGAAATAATGTAAATACACCTACCATCCGACTTACGACCTGCTCGACTTACGACCACACGACTAACGAACCGGTTTTTTATGCAATTTCTGGGAAATAAACAACTATTATTTTACACAGTGTTTATCCTAAACCTTACAGTATAAATACAGTACTAACAACATAAAAAGTAAAGTAAAACATGAAAAACAAAAATAAAACAATAAATAAAGTCATTACAAAAAATGTTTGGGGGGGGGGGGGTGTGGCTGGGTAGTACAGTTCGACTTATGACCATTTCAACTTACGTCCATGTTTCTCGGAACCAGAACTTCATCGTAAGTCGTATGGTAGGTGTACAAAATTAATCTGTTCCTGACCACCCAAGAAGTATTAAACAAAAAAATTTTTTTTACTGAAATATAGATGTAGTACATAAACAATACAATGGACATAATGAATAAACATTTAAGAGCCATAACACTTACCTTTATTGGCAATTCCTCTTAGTGTATGGATGACTGCAGAGAGAGAGATTGGATTAGTTACTGTTTTGGAAGGGAATCCCCTTCAATCAATGCCTCAGTACCAAGTCCATTTCTGGGGTTACTTCTCTTCTCTGTTCTTCTTAATGCTACAACCAGCTTGAGAGTCACTGGAGTCCTGTCTCACAAGAAAAGTGTCAGAGAGCTCTGTGTCCTGGTATCTCTTTAAAACTTCCCTAAAATGGTCCAGAGACTCTGTCACTGTACAAGTGCCGATATGGTCTTGCAACATCCTTCTCAGGGTGATGTTATCCATAAATCTTCCCCATCCTACCCCACATTTCCACCATGCCTTATCACACTGTGTATGCAACTATGCTTCTTAAATCTCTCAAACCAACTCGCTGGCCTTAAATTCACAATTATTAGTACTCCATTGGCAGGCATTTTCTTTACCAGATCATCATGCAACTGCCTAGCCTTTTCACAATAATCAGACATCATAAGAATATCTCCTGCTATTGTTTCTCATTTATCCACAACCAATAAAAACTTCTCATACTTCGAGTACTGGTGATCCCTCATTTTTGTCCAGCATATTACCCCCTATGGCAACAAACAGCTTCCCTGATTTCCTTTTCTTGGCCATGATGGAAATATGGTGTCATGGGATTTGTTATACATCCTGGCCAGTTCGGCCAACACATACACCACGTTACATACATGTTTCAATGATGTTTTTCTTAAATTCATCAATTTCTCACTTTTCTTTACCAAAGGCTGGCACTAGGAGCTTTCTTGGAGCCAGGTAGCTATTTAGAACTTGCAAGCACTACAACAAATGGAATAATATGAAAATTTCATTTGAACCAGTGAGGGGACTAACTCACTGGCAAACAATGGCACACTGGCTTGGAAGGGAGGCTGAGGCTGCTCAGAGCATGAGTACGCATCCCGGACGAAGGACGATTACCCCGAATAAACTGACCCATTTGCAGCATGTGTTTTGGGACGAGAATAACGCGATTCCGAAAAGGATGACTATCAGCCCGGAACGATTATTGAGGAACACCTGTATTTCATTTCAATTATACAGTGGTACCTCAGCATATGAACATCTCCCAACTTGAACAAATATGCAAGTGTATTTTTTGTAAGTGCTTTTGTAACTCTTTTTTGGGGTCCTGAAACAGATTAAACTAATTACTTTATTTCCTTTTGGAACAATTAATTTCACCATCAGCCTCTGACCAGCCTTCTGGAATGATTAAGTTTGTATCTCTGAGGTACACTGTTTAGAGTACACATACTACTCTATAAACATTCAAAAATATACCAGAAATTTTATAAATGGTGCAAAGGTGACATTAAAACAATATCAAAGATGGATGACAACAAACTCACTACCATTAAAGTATGTTTCCTCATCTAAGCCAAGGAATTCATTTAATGACATGGTCTTAGGAACGGAACTTTTGTCCGCTAAGTTGGAAGGCTGTATACAGTAAATTTAGAGTGATCATAGTTGCAACTAGTATTTCCCCACATGTTTGAAGTGTTAAAACATTATTATACACATCTAATATTATAAGTGTTAACATTAAAATTAATTAAAAAACTGAAAAACAATTAACATCTTGAACGTCAATAAATTCAAAACATAAATATCACATTTGGTGCATTTATGCCGACTGTTGCAG